GCTGCATCATGCTGGGCTGCAGCTTCAAGCAGCCACGTACCATCCAAGGAAGGCCCAGGGGAGGAAGGCCCAGGGGAGATGCGGGTGACCTGGACAACCAAGGGCAACAGAGTAACACACCAGGTTGTCAAGGCAACATAAAATACAACCATGGAACAATAGGGTGCAACAGATAACCATGGCAACACACAGAAACATAACCATCAAAATGAGACAAACAAGGCACAAATAATTTATAGCTGATATCAGTAGCCTAATTTTGTAATTTTTACAGTGTGTACAATATTGTTATAGACGTCTTTTTGCAACATCATGGAACTTGAAACAGAGTACAATAGATTCAAGAGCTCATCACGAGTGATTCCTGCCACAAATCACCTGTTCATTACTACCTGTAGCTCCTGCCATGAACTACCTGTAGAGCTCCAAGACTCGCCGCAAGCGGCCTCTACCACAAGCCACCCACTTAGAGTACTCCTCACAAGCAACTTCTGCCACAACTTATCTTTACCTGATGAAGTATCATGCTGGCCCTATTTTCTGTTCTAAAACTTTAGAAAGATAATTGGCAATTGCTTGTAGTAGTATTTGCTACTGGGCAGGCCTTACCAATACCTCCATGAGCAAATGAAAGTGCTGTTTTACTGCAGTTAAGTGAGGTGCAAGGATATGTGACTATTCAACAGTGGTGATGACTTTTCTGCAATACGGGTCCTGAATTAAACATCAAACAATGATCCCAAGTAAAAGCGAAGCCTCTGGGTCCAATTTTTACCAGGAAAGAGTAACATTGAGTTGTTGCTATGTGTAGGAGTGTAACTCAGCTCCCATTTGGGACCAACGGACATCAAGAGATATGTATGCTATCCAAACAACCAGCCGACCACTTAGGGAGAAACAGCACGATGAGTCACTGAGTAGGGGTGATGTTGGGTAGAGTTTGAAGAAGTACACTATCTGGAACCATGTTTCACCTCAATTAAAGGTGAGTATGTGAAACAAAATTGGGAAGGGCTATTTATTTTGGGGAGCTTCAAGAAGTGGCTCTTTTCTCCAAAGAGGCATTCTTTGCTTTACTGGCATGTTCCACCCCACACCAAGGTATGAGTTGGTACATTCTGATGTTTGCCCTGTATCCTGGTCTCTCACACAGGGCAGTCCTCAACTCTGAATCCAGATTGGTCAGAGGCAGTGCTTTGTGATGTGTCAGCACTACTTAGCTTCTGTTGCCTCGGAAGGACTTCACTGGGGAATCAGGGATGAAGGGCATGGCCCTGCATTGCTCTGGGAAGGTAGAATTGTAGGCGACTTAAAGCTCGAGGCCAGACCCATAGGAAGACTCCCTGTGGAGCACATCGAGGAAGCTCAAACAGAGACCCAACAACCTCCGGGCAGCTCCAACAGAGACCCAACAACCTCCGGCGCCCAGGAAATTGAAATGGAGGAAACTCCCGTTTTGGAAAATGCGACAGATACTGGCAAGATCAAAGAACGAGAATCCGAAAAGGAGGAACATGTGAGAGGACCAGCACTAAGCATTCCCTCCTCTTCTTCATCTATTTTCCCTCCTTGAGGACCCTGCCCATCCCCAGCTTGGCAAGAATTCCCTCCCTAACCCACACCCCTTTTTACTATGGTTCCTTCATGTGCAAATCTCCTCCTCTCCCATTGTAATGACCTTGTGGACTCATTCTGTTATCCTTGCATGTACCAAACATACATAAGACGAAGAAAAGGAGAAGAGAACCACAAAGTGTCGAAAGCCCCCCAAGCCCACCAGGCTTGGCTCTTCAACAAGAAAGATACTCAGACAGTAGTCTGAAGTTTTCTAAGACTTTATTTACAGAAAGGCAGCTACAGGTAGGAGAGAGCTCTCCAGTAGGAAGAATCTACTGAGGGGTCCCACAGGTCCCTTTTATACAGCCCGGAGTTTGGGTTGCCCAGGTGATTATTCCTAACAGAAACAAAAAAGGTACTATGGATACAGCACGTAGCTGAATCTTCCGGTGCCCTCAGACCTAACCTAAACTAACTTTCTAGAAGACCTGATTTATCATCCAGGTACAGCCTGTCAGCTCTGACTGCTGAAGCAGAGAGCTCAGAAGCTCTTAAAGTGACACTCTCCTAATTTCCAATGCTTATGGAAAGCATGGCTCCCGACATAGGAGTCTGTATCTACTTCAAAAAGAAGCTTCTTTGGTGAGTAGTGGGAGGTACATGTTTGTAAAGATCACAATGAGTTCTTTGAAGGCAGAAAGAATCATGTTGGTCTCAGGAAGTGACAGAACTAGGCTTTTCTTTTTTTATGGTCTCCTAATAGAGACCTTGGAGACAGCACTGAATGCCCCCAAAGTCACTTTATTGTGGGATGGAGAACATGAAAAGCGTCTGTCATGTTGTAAAGACCAGATAAAACTACAGCTCTCTTCTCATTCCAACTGAAGACCTGCCCTAATACAGCCGAGCAACCAACATGCTCAGCCCCAAGACAATGTCAGTTCAGACTTTCCTCAACACAGACCAAGGGCAGGATCCCTTGGAAGTAACCTGTAGAAATTTGAGGAGTTACTGCCTATGGCATTAGTGTTTCAGAATCTCCTTGTGCTTGGGGTGTTGAGGGATGGCATAATAAAGCAAGACTTTTCCTTTGGCAAAGTCCTTCCTTGGGCTCCATGGAGCTGAGGGAGATGCAGACCAGCTTGCAGGTGCCTTGAGTACAGGAGCAGAAGACAGGTCAGGGTGGGTGAGGGATCTCCAGGTGGGGCACTGACACGTTTCCCCGGCAGTCCACATATTCATAGCTCTCAAAGGGCTGCTGCTTTGAACGGCTCAGATAATAGTAGGTCAGGGTGCCCTGGATATGCAAAAGCACATGGTGGACTTTGATTTTCAGCCGGGTGCAGATTTTGTATGTGTTTTCATCCCAAATCATGTTGGCAACTTCATAAGACATCTGTCAACTAGAGAGACGCAGGATCTCGTCCCGTTGACACTCTGTAGCAAACGCTCACAGTTCTTGCACCACACACTAACTGCTACACTTCCCCTCGCTTTGAGCCCCCTTCACACACTTGCACACGGACAATGCTCTATCCTCCCAGTGTTACACACTTACCAATGCTTCTCTTAGAGACCTGAAGATAGGAGCATGCACACGAATCAACTACCAAGCAAGACAAAAAGAGAAAAGAGTGCAATTGTGCATTTCTCCAAGCTCTCAGACAGGTCAGGGAAAAGTCTTTGGGTGTACATCCATCAGGGTCTTCTAGAACATTCCTATCCCAGCAAGGGCACCCATTATCCACAGTCTCACTAGGTGCAAACAGGCCACTTTCATGAGTGCAGCATAACAGAGGGGATGGCGCAGATTGAGATAAAGCAAAATGACAGCTCACTTAGGGCTGTGGGTGTGGATGGAATTGATTGCTCTACTGGAAGAGCTCACTGGCCTGAGCCAGGACCCCAACCTAGAAACAGGCAGCAAAGCACATTCCACAGCATGCAGACCACATCAAAGTTCTGTTAGGAATGTTTTGTTGACACATAGACAACTTCGTCTGAATGGAAAACTGAGGAATCACATGACAGTCACAGAACATGTCTCCTGGGATGTTGTTGCATTAGTATGTTGCCTAATTTACACTTTTCTCTGGCATGTATATCTGCTGTCCAAAAATCAGAACACATGTTGGTTTCTGTTCTATACATGATTTCACATATACACAGGGGCCTTGGAACACGTTCCCCTGGAAAAGGAGTGTCTCTGGTCTTCTTACCCAATTGTCTTTGATTATAAATTCCACACCTTGAAAGCCAGTTGATTCAATCCACTGATCTCTAGGCCTCCTCTTTGGTCAAATCTAGGGTCTCACAAAAATGCATTCTTCTAAAAATCTATTCCATCTATAAAACATCTGTTCTTAGCTGGGTCTATATTAACATTTGAAGATCTTCCTTTTCCCCTACCAATTTCACATTCTTGGCATGCTATGATTTTCATAGGCTATTAGATCAATAGCCAAGCCATTTACTCTATGTGGGAGCCAACCATCTAGACAACAGGAATCTTTTCCACTATGCTACAGATAAACCAGTTTGCTCAAGGGAGTACAGTGCAGACTAAAGAGAAACTTGCTGTGATTTAAGGAGTGGTAAATTCCAATCTTCACTAAGGATTTATCTAATTCTCATGCTTGTATTCACAAATGTAATTATTTTCAAGTCCTTTGAATGTTTGAGATTATTCAGCAACTCCGCAATAGATGTTGGCTGAAAATATAAGATTCCTGTGGTAGAAAGAAAAGTGTTTGGTACTCAGGAATCAGCAGGCCACATGAGCATTCTTATGGCAAATGATTTTTTTCTCTCCATCATATACAGTATAATTTACATGGAGTGACCCAGGCAGTTACATGCAGTTGGATATTTCCTCAAGTTCAATGTCCCTGAGAAAAACTAGTTTCCATTGGTAATATCTAGGAAACCTGTCCTACACTTTGCTTGGGATGGAAAAGTTAAGGTTATTTTCGGTCTATAACAAATCTTCATCCATCCCATAAATATACACTGTCTTTGTCTTCTGAAGACCTCATTTACACAGAAAAGACAATGAACTAAATCGTGTGTAAGACAGAAACATACATGAGAAATTTGTGAAAAGTATCTCCTAACAATATTCAGAACACATTCTTCACTAATGTACTTCTAGCAAACAATTCTTATGAATATATTACTTTGCCACACACTCTATGGGAATTAATGTGAAAGATCTGACCTCTATCCTATTTCCCATTTCAGGAGAAATTCTACATAAGACAATATGGATGACATGCATCCAGGATAGAGTAGCTTCCTCCAGTCACCTCTGATATACTCACACTGAAACTTCTGAAAGAAAAGCAACTTCTACATCAAATTGATGTTGAGGTGTTGAAGGAGATGAATAACTAGACACTTAGAGAAGGTTCAAACATCATAGAATTCACATCCATGGGTTAAGGTTATGGGAATTTTTTATTTCTCATCCAGGCAAAGCAGAATGGTATCACAGTGGAGTTAGGATTCAAAACAAAGGGGCTCAAAGTGGGAAAACACATAGACATGACTGCTGTGATGTTCAGCAGCCACCAAGACGGATTAGATGAAACAGCAATGCAACCTTGCAAGATGGAGGAGAGAGTGTAAAATGTGAGAAAGATGAACACCAGGACCAGGATGCTCTGGGTGGCTCTGGACTCGGGGCAGGTTCTGTGGGAAGCATGAGAGCTGTGGATGCTTTGAACACGCTGCTTGTGTCTGTACAGAATGACAACCATGGAGCCGCTGGACCAGGCCATGATCATGGAAAACACAACTTCAGGGAATACTGATAAAGCTGCATACAGTGTGTCCACAATTTTATCACGACCCACAAAGGAGCAGAATTCAAAATCCCACTTTTCTGTCATGTTGTTGCTGTTCCCTTTGAAACGTGCATAAACCGGGAAGATGAAATGTACTGTCATGTGCAGGACCCAGCAGAGACACATGGAGTGGTCAATGTATGTTTTGGCTTTGATTTGAAAATTCTTCCAGCAGGAGTTCCCAGGGCTGATGGTGATGGCCTGGAAGACACTCGGGTGGCAGGCGGTGCCAATGGACATGCTCCTGCCAACTCTTTGAGTATACAAAAGAAGTTTACAGCCAAAATCACTGAAGAACTGTTTCAACTCCAAAACTCCCATTATACAAGGAATTCCTTTAGAGACAATAATCATGGAGTTGGCTATGATCAAATGCACGAGAATCAAATCTTTGGGCTTTAATGTGAATTTGTTGTAGTAAACAACTAGGTAGTGGGAAAGAAGAGAGAAATTTCCCACAATTCCAACTATAGTCTGTAATATAAGCAATATTCCTGTTACCAGCTTCCTGAGGTCCATTGTGACATGCAGTACGTTTTCCTTTAAGTTGTGTCAACAATTACTTCTCTGAGCAAAATGACAAAAACACACTCTGAGCTGCAGTGCTGGGACAGGAGAAGCACTGAGCTTACGAATGCAACACCACTGTGTGTGCATCTCAGGAAGAGCCTGAAATGAAATTTATTTTGTCATGAATAGTAACTTTCAGTGGGACTGCTGAAGTCTTGACATGCACATATTTATGTGGAGGACGCCCAAGATAGTTCATCAAAGAGCCAGCATTAACAATAAGGCAATGCGGAGATGGAGAGATTGTTCCGTGGTTAAAACCTTTGCCTTCTCTTGCAGATGACCCAGGTTCAGTTTGCATCACAGAGGTGGTGACTATGAAACACCAAAACTCCAGTTCCAGGGATTTCAATACCCTCTTATGACATCTATGGGCATTGCACACAGAGTTGCAGTTACATACCTGCAGGCAAAACACTCATACACATAAAAGTTAAAGAAGTTATGAAAAATTATGGGAGATGCAGAGATGGGTCAGCAGTGAAGAACACTGACTGCTATTGCAAAGGGTCTGAGTTTTATTCCAGCAACCACATTGCAGTTAACAGCTATCTGTAACTTCAATTCCAGAGAAGCCAGTCTGCCATGGGTATTACATGAAACTGTCACACTTACATACATGGAGGCAATACACTATTACACATAAAATAAAAACAATAAATAGAATATCTAAACATATATTATATATATATATAGGTATATCTTTTTTTTTTTAAGAATCTGGCAATGTTGTCCTGGGAGAACCGATGGCCAGGGCTGAGAAATGTAAAAACTGCTTACTTTTACATGGCCAGTACACACTGCAATTTGCCCTTCATACTGGAGTTAAAGGAATTTCAGTCATGGCCTTTTTTGGTGGTTTTGTTTTTGTTTTGTTTTTGTTTTTGTTTTTTGTGTTTTTTTGAGGTCTTTTCTAGCCCCAGCTGGCCTGGGACTTACTATGCAGATGAGATTGGCCTCCATCTCACAAAGGTCTGCCTGCCTCTGCCTCTTGAGTGCTGGGACTAAAGGTTTGTGCCATAACGCCTGGTGCAGTCAGTCTCTTCATCATGGTAGAAATCCTGCTTAGAGCATTTCTTCTCCTAATTTCAAACACAAGTAATGAAAATGGTACAACAACAAAATACGATTCTCTGTTCTTAGAGAAATGCTTAAAATCTAGCAGAAAACCTTCACAGAATAAAAGATACAAATGAAAATTAGATAAAGTTTTGCTGAAACCTAGGACCAATCCTATTTCACAGAGAGAGAAAGAGAGAGAGAGAGAGAGACAGAGACAGAGACAGAGACAGAGAGAGAGAGCAAACAACTATTGATAATAAAGCAGGCATCACCAGAAAACACTGAGTAGAAAGTTTCCTTGAATGGGTCTGAGGGTCTGAACTGCTCTTGGTGTCACTACAAGATGAACATGGAGCCACAGAACTAGATCATGAGCTCAAGTCTGAAACATGAATGTTAACGCTGTTGCTCTTATGAGATCTTATGAGGTTCAGTGAATGATTTTGAAACATAATGAAACATTTTACACTATGAAATTTTGGTGCTCCATTAGACAATGAAATTCCTACATAATCACATTCTCCAGTGTACACAGTCTTACAGTTGAAACCCAGGATGCCTTGGAGCTTTACAACTCTACCCACCTACAGTTCATCACTCCCTGTGGTGACTAAACATGTGCACAGGAAGATGGAGCTCTTCTGTCTAGCCCACCACAAGTGTGAAGAGAAGAAACAAATGCTCACCATCACTGAAGATTCTCCAGCCTTAGAGCTGGAAGTCGTGGAGACCCCTGCAGAGAGAATGGCTGGTAGGTGGAGCTCTGTGTCTGAGAGTCCAGTACAAGGACCACAGGCCTCATTCAGTGTAGGGAAAGAGGGGATGTGGAGAGTCACCCCAGGATGCCCTCTTCACCCTGAACCTGTGGACTATTCTTATCTCCCAGTCCCTAGAGTCACTTTTCCAGCTTCCAGTGACTGTTATGTGTCCTCAGACAATAGGATTCTGCACAGGAACAGGCAATGTGGACACTTTGATACCATGAACTGAAATCAAGTGTTCCACTGATAAGTACTTGTTTATGGTTTTATTGTGTAAAAGAGCCTCCTGGTGTCTAGCTGAAAACTGCAAACAGAAGTAACAATGTATGAATCCTGCTTATAATCCTCTTTTTCTGGTAACTTCTTATATTTGCATAGCTGTTTGGTGAGGAGAATAACATTTCCTTCATTGCCAAGACTAGATCTTAGAGGATGCTTGTTAAATGACTGTTTATAAGGCATTTGTGGACAGTGTGGACACTTCAGAATCCTGAACATGCCATGAGCTAAACAGCAGTCTGTCTGTGCTCAGCAATGGTATGTCAGCCTCATGTTCAAACAGTCAGTATATATAGCTTGCATTCATATCTTGCATTTGAATACTAAGCTGCCAGCATTACATATAAATGCTGTTCTCTAATTATAGTAAGATGTTACAGAAACAGCCTGCATGTGAATTGGATTTCTTGAGTGCTGGATAGATATAATATTTGTTTTTGTGCCAGACATATTTGTGATCACTCCAGGAATGAGCACATAGACGTGTCTACCAGATGAATTATTGATCAATATTATTTTTATCTTCAGCTATAACACGTGAAAACCTGTACGTGAGAAAATGTGAGGCATGGAAATTAAGTGAATATTTACCTGAAGAGATAACTAGGCTGGTAAAGGTCTTGCCTTTTAAGCATGACCTGAGTTCAGTCTGTAGAATTCAAACTTCAACTGTTGGTTATGATGGTGCACACTTCTATTACAATCACGGGGGAGGCAGAGACACTGGGGAGGCAGCGAGGTTCACTGGTGCTCACTGACTAGGCAGCTAAGCTTACACAGAGCATTTCAAGCTGATGAGAAAGCCTGTCTCAATAAGAAAAAAAATCAATAGTTAAAAATTGTCTGTGGAAAAACAACTACAGTTCTCGTCTGACATACATAACACACATGCACCAAAGTTGACCTGCATGTGAACACACAAGCGTAGCACGCAAAAGAAATATATCTTAATTTAAGATTAAAAGCTTTAATATATAGCTATTAGTAATAAATCATGATTTATCACCAATACTTTAACACAAGTTCTACATGAATAGAATCTGAAGAATAGGAAATCCTATGCACTGTGTAAGATGTGCAAAGGTTAGTAACAGCTGTGGCTCCTTACCTGCCAGGCATGAAGTGCTGGGTTCCAACAACATCACCAGTGACACTGGAAAACACCTCCTGTCCTTGTTAGTGATTTCAGAGTATCACAAGACTGGGGGAAATAAGGGAAGACACATTAGTCCCAGCTGATCGTTTGCAGGACTCACAATGATGTCACACTCCCTTCAACACTGTGTTCCCAAGTTCAAGAGGAAAAGCAATCTCAGTGGTCATGGGAATTCTAACTTTTAGTGCCCACAGGATTATTGTCTTTGGTTACAAATGTAATGCTACACAGTTTATTTCAGAACTCTTTTCAGATCCTGGTTTATCTCTAGGATTGGATGATTCTTAAAGCTCCATTATAATCTTTTTCATAAGGGTAAAGCCATGAAGCTAGCTTGTATAATTTCCATACCCAAAACTAGTCAATGATTCATGTAAAATACATGGAGAGGAAATATGATTGACCTAATTACAGTCCTTAACCACCATCCCAGTCAGTGTTAAGTATTGCTTGGCTGATCCACAATAATCAGCCTCAGCAGATTTGTTTTTCTTGATTTCCTATTTATTTTTTGAGACAGGGTCACACCTGTAGCTCTGGCAGACCTTAAATTTGCCATATATACCAGACTAACTTCGGAGTCACAAAGAGCCACTTGGTGCTGCCTCTCGAGTACCGGATTAAAGGCATGCGCCCCACGCTTGGCCTATTCCAATCGTTTTCTACATCAGAGTTCAGCACAAGGTCATAGACACTTTTTTCTCTATCTAATAATTCTATCTAATTTTTAGGCTCTTAGCCTAAAACGTCTCCCTCCCTCTTGGTCAAATTTGCTCTGCATGTTTCTATAACAGAACCAATTTTCTAGATATGCACTTACCCAGACCCCCTTACATTGTTTGTTTTGTCTCCTAGAGAAAACAGGACATGCTCACCTGATTCCTTCGCTCTGCAGATCCTTCAGCTCAGTGTGCAGATCCTGACATCAGGCAAACCAGCAATATGGGAGAGGGAGGCAGCTCAACCTTCAGATAAAGGTCTGCGACTCTGTGACCTCAGCTCCCTCTGAGATGCAATTTTCCTGTCATCTGCCATGGCAATGACAGCACTAGCTTTGGGAGTCAAGAACTTTTCTGAAACTTTTCCTGTTATCCAGGAACCAAAGGCAGTCTGCACAGGCAGAACAAGAGGAGATTCAGGGACTCCCTCATGGGACACTCCGCATTGAGAGAGACAAGAACAGTTTTCCCAGCAGGTTTACTTTTTTCTGTTCTGTAAGTTGTACAATACCATGCCCCTGATGTTCTGACAACTGGACCAGATCTTCAAAATCCAGGCAAGACAACCAGCAAATGCTGGTTTGTGGGACAGTCTTTCACCTGTTATGGGATAATTCAATTTTAAAGTCCTGTTATACATGTGCAGGTACATATTCTAGCAAGCCTGTACAAAGCTAAGGTCCATATTGTATTTTCGAGTTTTCTTTAATGTTAGTTACCTCTTCTCCCACCCCCTTTCTCCCCTGCTCCTATCCCCCATTTGACTCTTCCTGGTTCATTAATCTTCTTTCAACCTCTATCCCCTTCCCGTGATATCAGCCCCATGACCACTTACTAATTTCCTGACTTCTATGTTTATTGCAATGTAAACACACATATCGAACGATAAAAACCTAGCATGCACCATGAGAGAGAATATGTGACCTCTGCCTTTCTGGATCTAGTTACATCACTGAAATTGATCATTTCCAG